TTTTTTTGGTGGCTGGTGCCTAAATACAGGGATTATAGGGACTATATTGGGGTTCTATGGGGATCATGGAAAAGAAAATGGAAACCACTATATTGGGGTTATATATGTTAGTCCCTTTTTGGGTCCGTATTATAATACGGCACCTAATATTTAGGGCACCCAAAAAGGGAGCAATAATTTTGACAACCACCCTTGTCATCAAGGGGCTGCATGGTATCCCGGTGGGCTGCTGGGGTCTTTAATCGAGGATGCTATTGTGTGCGAGCGCGTGCCTTTATGTAGAGCTGCTTTCCAACCCAGGCCGAACATTTGTGAGGAACCCGCTCCAGTGTCGAGTTTCCGGATCTCATTTGCTGGATGGAAAACCTGACAAAAGAACCACTCAAATTCTAAGCTGATACTGCTGCCACTGCCAACTGCTATTGACGATGATGACGGCTGTGGCGACGGCAACCCTCCCCATACCCAAATGGCTCTGAGCTGAACTTTAAAGCCAGGACAAGAAGGTGTTCTGTTTGTGAAGATTGAAGGCCCCGTGCTGCTGAGGGCGTCGTCACGCTCATGACCTAGACATGTGTTCACCTCTTTGCGGAACGTCTGCATGGATTTTCGGTGTGGAGTTTAGGTTTGGATGCCTTCGGGCAGTGTGAGAACGTGCTTGTCTCATGAACAGCAGGCGTTTGTTCTGTGTCGGTTTTGCCTGGACGTGTGCCGTTCCCAGACGTCAGTGTCTCCGTAGACAGGTGGCTTCGCAGTTGCTTGTTTATTTGCAGGGAACAAGAACTTTTGAAGCCAAAAGGTCTTCAATTTGCAGTCACCCAAAAATGGACACTCCAAAAACTACGCACCATTACACACCACACAATCACATTACGGACTCCTGCATACACTCGGAACATGCCCCCGCAGGTAAGAAGTCATTTGGAAGTTTGCCTGCAGAACCAAGGAAGTGCAGCTCGGTTGTGGGTTTATGGGGTGTTTGCGAAGCTCCACCAGAAAATGCAAGTGTTAGCTGAGTCTTAGCCCACCTCAAGAACAATGATGAATCTGATATTTTGGTGTTTTTACTGGGGTCCCGTTATTTACGGAAACTACCATTTAACCCAGCAGTTGAAAACTAAAGACAAGTAGGCACTCCCATGCATGTCAAGCCAAAACACTTGTCCACGGGCACACCTAACCCTAAACCCTAAACC